TCTGTGGTGTGAGATGATATCTCATTGTTGTTTTGATCTGCATCTCCCTGATGATTAATTATGTAGAGCATTCTCACATGTGCCTTTTTGCCATTTGCAAATATCCTTCATTTTAATAGTAGAAGAGATGATACAAAGCTTTTGTGTGTCTAGTTGCAGAGAAACTTGAAAATTAATTCACTAGTATTTTTCTTATAATGCCCTATTATATACTATACAACTTTGGTAGAAAATAAATATAAATCTTTCAAGAAACTTTGAGTCATTTTACTAATTTTATAAAGATTAAACCCAGCTTAAATTGGGTTTATTCTCTATCAGATTAATATTAATAAAATGTATTTTGTCTTATTTTTCTTAAATATAAAAAGTAATTGAATAAAATGGAAAACAGAAAAATACATTGCAGCAATAAAAGTAAATATTACCTCAGCTTTAAGTTATATATGTCCAAATGATGTGTTAAGAAAATTAATTTCTTTTTTTTCATTAGTGAAACACCATGACATATAGTTGTAGACTTACAAATTTTGTGCTTGGGTTTCGGTTATACAATGATAAAATACCCATCCCTCCACCAGTGCCCATTTTCCACCACCATGGATCCCATTATCCCTCCCACCTGCATCCTCCCCATCCCACCCTGCCTCTGTGGCAGGGCATTCCGTTTTGTTTTCTCTCTTCCTTTGGGTGTGACAAATTAATTTCTTGAGGATTGTGAAAAAATATTTACTGAAGACATATAAAATTAATACATTACTTAATATGGTGATTCCAGTACATGAAAGTACCAATTATGTCATTATTTTCTTATTTTTCAAAAAATTTAAGCAAATAGTACACATAAAACTAGTAGATAAATAATTATATAATTCAAACTAAGTACCAGCAACATCTGCAGTTAAACCAAGAGATTTAAACCATCATTCAATGTTAAAAGCCTGTTCAATGAAAAAAAATCGGTAAAAAATCTCTTATTTTAGTTTTAAAGGCTCTTTGTCACCAATCTTAATGTGATTTTAATACATTTATCTGTGGTTTGCTAAGAAGTTAAAATAAAAAGAGAACACATCTCTCTACTGTTGGTCTTTAAAAGCAATTTTTCCTGTGTACTTTAGCCCACAAACTAATGAATTATCCTAAGGCTTTCATCAAAAGGAAAGTGGTTTAGTGATGCAATGTGACCATAAAACCTGGGTTTCACTTTGAGTTTTTTACCTAGTCTGCATTTTGTGACTACAGAAGTGGATTAACATTGTAGTTAGATTTGAGCTTATTTTTATTTTCCATTTACAAAGTATTCCCAGAGAGGAGATCATGTTATAGTAGCTCAGCAATGAATTAAGAAAATTTACACTGATTATATAGAATTATTGTTCATGGTTACTAGTTCTAGTTGGATATAAATGTACTACTACTATTATCTGGTGTGGCCATCAGGTTCCAGCTCCACAATACCATCATCTGCACCGTGAACTCTCACCTGGCAGCCCACACAGAAGAGTACGAGAGGAGGAACCAGGACTACAAGGACTATAAGGACATTTGTTCTTGGATGCAGTTTTGTCAGGCCGACCCCAGCCTCCCCCCGCTCACCATCAGCAGGCACGATGTGATCTTGTGGCTGGGGAACCTCAACTACAGGATAGAAGAGCTGGATGTGGAAAAAGTGAAAAGGCTGATCGAAGAGAAGGCCTTTCAAACCCTGTATGGGTATGACCAGCTGAGAGCTCAGATGGCTTCGAGGGCTGTCTCTGAAGGCTTCACGGAGGGGGAGCTCACATTCCAGCCCACCTGTAAGTACGACACCGGCTCCAACGACTGGGACACCAGTGAAACGTGTCGGGCTCCTACCTGGTGCGACTGGATCCTCTGGAAAGGCAAGAACATCACGCAGCTGAGTTACCAGAGCCACATGGCCCTGAAGACCAGTGACCACAAGCCTCTCAGCTCAGTGTTTGACATTGGGGTCAGGGTGGTCAATGAAGAAATGTACCGGAAGACTCTGGAGGAGATTGTTCGCTCCCTGGATAAGATGGAAAATGCCAGCATTCCTTCTGTGTCTCTCTCCAAGCGAGAGTTCTGTTTTCAGAATGTGAAGTTTGTGGAATTGAAAATAGAAACTATTATCTATTAACAAGTATCATTTATTTATAGATTATTTATTTATAGATTATGATCCAGAAGATTTTTTTGCTCCATTTTTATCTCATGTACTTTTATCACTTTCTAGGGTGTTTCATATTTAGTTTTATTTTTGGTTTTGGTTTTTAGAACATACCCAGCAAACTCAGTGCTTACTCATGGCTCAATGCTCAGGGATCACTCGTGGCAGCCTTGTGGACCATTTGGGGTGCTAGGGATAGAATGAGGGTTGGTCATGTGCAAGTAAAGCATGCTACTACCTATACTATTTCTCTGGCTCCCTATTTCATCTTATCTTGAAATATATGCGTTTGATTATTATTATATTTACAAAAGAACCAAAGTTATGAGTGTTATTTATTAATGTTTTCACATATACATATATGTATACACCCACCCCTTCACACAAGTTCCATTATAAGCTATTATATAATTATTATATAATCAATTATATAATATTTTTACTGACCAATGCAGAAAGCAAAGTATGGCAGCTATAAAGCACCTGTGAAAATATGTAGATCACAGTCTTCCAGTTTAACACCCAATATTTATGAAGAAACAGTTCTAAAATTTATTTGATTGTGATTATTTTCTTTGAAGAGGAAATGTGATCACCGCTCAATCAATATCCTTTACTGCCAACTATTCATTAATGGAGTTCTGTAAATGCAAATCTAACCAAAATTACCCAGAAATAAAAATTTCTATAAAACTATTGCCACAGTTTGGTAAATTATTATGCTTAAGGATTACTTACTTCCCCCTCTAGTGAAAAGATTGTACATATCCACACTCTGCCACGCCTTTCAGTATCTCTTATCTAGCTGCTGTACTTCTCTGCATCACTGATTTTGAGTATGAATGTGAATTTATTTTGTGCAGAATATTATGAACACCATAATAAAGTTTTGATAAAGAACAGACTCTATAAAAATCGCAAAATGGTTCTGACTTTGTCTGTCATAAGAACAGTATGTCCTAGATGGTGCTACTGCTTTAACTTTGGATTTGAACTCATAATTCCATTGAACAAATTTGGAGTCAAACGACAACCACAACATGTAAGTTAAGGTTGTTCTAAGTCATTGTAGTTCTGTCTGTTGTAATTCCAAAGTTGCAGAATAATATTTAGAAGGGAAGCATAATTTCATAATCACACTTAATTTAGGAAAGTGTTTGTAGGTTTTCTATAATATTAATTCAAAAGACCCAACTTTTGGGTTGTAGTCTGGAAGCTGAAAAAGAAAGGACAGTAATTTTCCCATATAAAAATATTAAAAATTTGGAAATTTCTCCTGCAATTTGGGATATCTTTTTCTTTTTTTAAAATCTTTTAAACCATTTTTTAAACTTTATTTTTCTTGTTTACCTAAAGAATATAAAAATTAGAATTTGTGGTTGATGGTTTATTTTCTTTTTATTGTTTGAAAAATGTCATGCCAATTTATTATGGTTTCTATGGTTTCATTTGAGAAACCCACTGCCATTTGATTCGTGTTCTTTTCCCCCCTCTTGTCAATGTGACAATTCTCTCTACAAGATCTATTATCTTTATCTTAAAATTTTAAAGTTCTTTATAAGATCTCTAGGTTTGGAGAAAGTTTTCACCCTTAATCTTTGAATAATCTTTTTTTTTTTTTTTTTGCTATTTGGGTCACACCTGGTGATGCACAGGGGTTGCTTCTGGCTCTGCACTCAGGAATTATTCCTGGCAGTAGCTCAGGGGACCATATGGGATGCTGAGAGTCGAACCCGAGTGGGTGCAAGGCAAAAGCCCTACCCGCTGTGCAATCACTACAGCCCCTGAATAATCTTTGAGTCACATTCTCCTCCGCCACTTCTGAGATCCAATTAATGGAATATTGGATCTTCTGTTGTGTCTCCTGGATCCACAATGAATTTTTTTGTATTATTTTTACTCAGTTCAAATTTACTAAATTATATTGATCTTCTGTCTGCAGCTCTATTTTATATTGGCTCCACTCACGTTTGAACCTATCTAATGATACTTTTAGTTCAACCACTGTATCCTATGAAATTGTTTTGCATGAGTTTTCTTATTTAAACTTTAATTTTTGGATAAGTATAATGTTCATTGAAATGTTAATTTTTTATATTTGTCTCAGAAGAATTTACATTTGTTTTCTGAAGTAATCTTACAATGTCTGATTTAAACTTTTATAATCGCAATATCCAATCCACCTCAATGTCGGCACCATTGACTTTTCCAAAATAAGTTGTAATTTTCCTGTTCATTGGTTGATGAGTAATTTTCAATTTGATTTGGGTATTCAATATATTAAGAACTATGAATCCTATTACAATCTTTTATTTAGCAGGCAGTCTTATGTTCAGTGTTAGCAAACAGGCCTTTATCTACTTTCAAAGTCTGTGGTTCCATTAACAATATCAATTATCTTTTGTTTCTGATAATCATTTATATAGCCTAAACTCAACACAAAAGCAGAGTGGTATCATTAAATTGTGTTATTATAAATTTATTATGATGTTCATGTGATAATAAAAAGTTCTTATTGATTATAACATGGCTTCTATTACAATGGTCTACTAGCTTTCTATAATTTCTCACTCACTACTTGGATTTTATCCTGTGCTCTTCTGTCATCTATGCTAGCCATTCTGACACCTTATGATTCATCTTTCAGACATGGTCTTGCTTGGGACCTTTTTTTCCCATTCCTTTGTTCAGAATGATCTTTATCTGATACCTGAATGCCCACCTCTTTTACTTCCTTTTCTCCCCCCATCTCTCCTCTCTCTGTCTGTCAGTTTGTCTCTTTTATGGAGGTGAGCAGAGGGCTATACCTGATGGTTCTTAGAAGGCTCCCCCTATGCTCTCTTCAGGAGCACATATATTAAAATTGGAATGATACAAAGAAGATTAGCATGGCCCCAGCGCAAGGATGAGACGCAATGATGTTCAATGAATTCAATGAAACAATGAGACAGATATTCAGTAAACTGAAGGAGAACATAAAAGAAACAGTGGATTAGAAAATTGAGAAAATCCAGGAAGAGATGAGAGCAGAAATTGGAGAGCTGCACACAGAAATGTCATGAATAAAAGACTCCATAGATGAAAAAAATAACTCAGTCTATGCCCTCAACAGTAGAATGGCCACAGCTGAAGACAGAATCAGTGAACTGGAAGATCAGCTGCACCAAGCCAACAGACAACGACAAACAATGGCAAGAGACCACAAAATAGTTCTAGAGCGAATCAAAGTCCTTGAAGATGATTCCAAGAGGAACAACATTAGAATCATTGGAGTACCAGCAGGTTAGGGAAACAATCCCATTGAAAAAACCAAGGTCAAACAATCACTTCACTTGATCACTTGACTTCCTGTTAATCGTCGATTTGCTCAAGCGGTAGCCCAATCTCTCCATTTGTCCCTGTCTCATGCTAGTGTAGCCCAATGGTGTCTGTTCGTTTTAGGAACACAAAGAACCTCAAACCTCAAAATATCGTTCAGGATATTGATGAAGAGGTCAGACCATCTGATAGGTGGGCGGCCAAGCAATCTTTTGACAACTTGTGGAATCCAGTCGGAAACGGCTCTAGTGGTCATCTCCAAATCTCATTACATCTCCAGCCCATCTAATTTTTGACGCCTTCGCAAACGAGACAGTGTCCCTGATTCTTGATCATCGACTGAGGTCGGAACTCTGGATTCTTTCTCTCATTTGAGTGAAACGTGATATTCCAAGCATAGATCGTTTGATTCCTCTTTGGGAGACACGAATAGCGTTCTCATCCTGTTTGCGTAGGGTCCAGGTCTCTGAGGTGTATGTTAATGCAAGAAGAACAGTGGAATCGAAGAGATGTGCCCAGAACCAGAGGTTCTTCGTCCTCTTAGCTATTTCTTCGACACTCTTGAAGGCATTCCAAGCTGCTCTCTTCCTTCTGCGCAACTCAGGTGCCAGGTTATTTGTCATGTTGACTTCTCAACCTAGGTACACATAACTATTGGATTCTGAGATGGTCGTTCCATTGAGAGTGAATGGAGCATCAGGAACAAGGCTGTTTCTCATAAACATTGTCTTCGTAAGATTCAGCTATGTCCTACTTTTCCACACTCATGGTCAAAGTCTGCCAGCATTTGTGACGCTTGCCTGATGTTTGGTGTTATTGGAACAATGTCATCAGCAAAGCAGAGGTGGTGTAGTTGACGACCATCTATCTTCACTAACATTTCTTCCCATTCCAGTCATTGCATGATGTTCTCGAGGATGGCACTGAAAAGTTTCAGTGAAATGGTGTCATCCTGCTGAACCCCTCTCTTGACATTGATGATTACTTCTTTGTAGAATGGTGAGAGCCTGGTAGTGAATCCGTAATACAGCTCATGGAGGATCCTGATGTATTGAGTTTGAATGCCCTGATTGGCTAGGGCTTCAGTGACCGCTTCCATCTCAACAGAATCAAAGACCTTCTTTAAATCAATGAATGTTAGACAGAGCGGCATCTTGAACTCCTGAGAAACGTCAATGAGCTTGGTTATCATGTGGATATGGTCAATGGTGCCTAATCCTTTGCAGAACCTGGCTTGCTTGCATGGTTGTCCTTCATCTAGTGTTCTGCCAATCCTATTCAGGATGACTCGAGAGAACAGCTTGTAGATGACAGACAATAGGCAGCTTGGGCCATAGTTGCCAATTCTGTGGATGTCTCCCTTCTTCTACAGTTGTACAGTCCTGCTGGTTTTCCACTGGGATGGAACCTTGCATTCAGACAGGTAGCACATGAAGAACCGAGCCAGCATATTGATGAGTACTGACGGCAGGTTCTTCAGGTGTTAAGGTCTGACCTTGTCTGGGCCGGGTGCTGTTCATTTCTTTACTGACGAAATGGCGTGTCGGATTTTGGAAGGGAGAACATTGGGAACAACATATCCATCCTGTGGAATTTCGTATGTGGGCAGGTGGACATGGCTATTGAAGAGATCTGAGTATAAGTCATGAATAATCTTCTCCATTGCCCTTCTGGAGGATGTGATGGATCCATCAGGACTTCGGAGGGCAGTCATCTTGGTCTTGTAGTTGGCGAAGGACAGGCGTGCGTTACGAATACTTTTCCCGGCTTCTGCTGCATCTACCAGTACTTCTGCTCTTCTCTCTTTGAGATCTTCCTTGATCGCATCTCTGCACTGCTTTGCAAGCTTACATGTTGGCTTATGATTGCCTGAGGCATACGCCAAACCACATTGGCGAATAAGCTCAAGAGTTTTCAAAGACAGTTGTCTTTTTGTGGCTATCTCTCTCTTGGCATTCCTCGCACAATCATGGAGGTGCTCAACCAGTCGATCATATTCCTCGTCAGTGGTGTCAACAACGGCATCTTCCCAGGTAGAAGCATTAGTGCCAGAGAGATCCCAGTTGGTGGTCATTCTGGGAGTTCTCTTCTTAAACTTTGCAGCCCTTTCTCCCTGCTCTGTGAAGTAGAATTTTGCACGAAGAAGATGGTGGTCCAATCCCATTTGGAATTTTGGGACAACAGTGACATCGGTTAGGCAAAACCATCGATTGAATATGATGTGGTCTATTTCTTTGTGGAACCATCCACCAGGAGATTCCCATGTCCAACGTTTAGATTTGGTCTTCTGGAACTGTGAGTTACCATGGATAGTCTTGGTCGACATGATGAACTCAGACTGTCTCTCACCCTGTTCATTCCATTCTAGCCCATGGGTCCCAGTGTGGAGTTCTTCGGCTCATCTTCTCGGTCCTATCTTAGAATTAAAATCACGGACAATGATCTCAAAGGAGGTGTGGTCTTCATTATAGAACTTCTCCAACTCCATGTAGACCTTCTTAATTTCTCCTTCATCATAATTGAATGTTGGTGCGTAGACAATGAACCAGATAAATACCTCACTGGCAGACCTCCACTACCTGCATTACCAAAATCTTTCCCAAAACAAAAGCCCGGGTCCAAATGGATTCACTAGCGAATTTTTTCCAAAAATTTAAAGAGGTCCTATTTCCAGTACTTCTCAAGCTTTTCCAGAAAATTTAAGAAACTGAAACTCTCCCTAACGGTTTCTACGAAGCCCATATATCTCTGATATCAAAATGATATAAAGACACTACCAGAAAAGAAAACTACAGGCCAATATCCCTGAAAGGAAGAAATCAAGCTCTCATTATTCACAGATGATATGATATTATATCTTGAGAACCCTATATACTCTACCAAGAAACTCCTAGAATTAATAGACTTGTACAGTAAAGTTTCAGGCTATAAAATCGATACCCAAAAGTCCATGGTTTTCCTATACACAAATAGTGAGAGAGAAAAAAGTGACATGATAAAACAATCTCATTCACAAATGTGCCCCAGCAAATCAAGTACCTTGGAATCAGCTTAACTAAGGAGGTAAAAGACCTGTACAAAAAAAAAAAAAACACTACTACAGGAAATAAAAGAGGACACGAGCAAATGTAAAGATATTCCTCTTCATGGATTTGGAGAATTAACATTATCAAAATGGCAATAATTTCTAAAGCATTGTATGAATTCAATGCAATCCCTATAACTATACCAATGCCATTCTTCAAAGAAATGGAGCAAACATTCCTGAAATTCATATGGAGCAATAAGCTCCCACGAATAGCTAAAGCAATTCTTGGGAAAAAGAAAATGGGAGGAATCAACCTCCCTAACTTCAAACTCTACTACAAAGCAGTAATAATTAAAATGGCACGGTACTGGAACAAAGGCAGAGCTGCAGGCCAATGAAACAGGATTGAATATACTGACATCTCCCCTCAAACATATTATCATCTAGTCTTTGATAAGGGAGCAAGAAATGTGAAGAGGAACAAGAAAAATGTCTTTAACAAATTGTGCTGGCAAAACGTGGACAGCTACATGCAAAATAATGGGCTCAGATCTCTGCCTAACACTATGTACCAAAGTAAGGTCAAAATGAATTATAGACCTCAACATCATACAGGAATCCATATGGTACATTGAAGACAAGGTTGGCAAACTCTCCATGACATTGAAGCTAATGATATCTTCAAAGATGTCATGCCACTGGCCAAGAAAGTGAAAACAGAGATAGACAAATGGGACTATCTTAAACTAAGAATCTTCTGCACCTCAAAAGAAACAGTGACCAAAATACAAAGACAGTCTACAGAATGGGAAAGGATATTCGCCCAATACCCATCTGACAAGGGGTTGATATCAAGGATATACAAAGTACTGGTTGAACTCCACAAGAAGAAAACATCCAACCCCATCAAAAAAAAAATGGGTAGATGAAATGAACAGAAAATTTCTCATAAAGAAATAGAATGGCAAAAAGGCACATGAGAAAATGCTGTACATCATTACTCATCAGGGAAATGCAGATCAAAACCACAATGAGATACCATCTCACACCTCAGAGACTGGCCTACATCCAAAAGAACAAAAGCAATCCGTGTTGGCATGGATGTGGTGAAAAAGGAACCCTCCTTCACTGCTGCTGGGAATGCCGACTGGTTCAACCCTTTTCGAAAACAGTATAGACAATTTTCAAAAAATTAAAATTGAGCTCCCATTTGGCCCAGCAATACTACTCCTGGGAATATATCCCAGAGAGGCAAAAAAGTATAATTGAAGTGACATCTGCACTTGTTTGTTCATTGCAGCACTGTTTCCAATAGCCAGAATCTGGAATAGACCCGAGTGCCCTACAACAGATGACTGGTTAAAGAAACTTTGATTGGTGGTATGGTACCACAAGCAGGTCAATCTGTACCTATGAGATGAGTGCATCAGGAGCCTGATGGCAACGTCAGACTTTCAGATACCCCCAAATTGCTGCTGTGCCTTTGGCCAGACCCCAAAAACTTGGGGCAAAGTTTACCAAGAAAGTAAATGGCCAAAATTTAGGTATGTGGGAGACACATCCACAAACCACCTCTGCCTCAGCTATATAATTG